CCAAATTAAATTCAAATAAAATTACTATGAAACCAGCTTAGATGCTATATGACACATTCAACAATTTGAAGTAAAAAAAAAATAGATTGATTTATTCAACTGATAAGTCACATATATTTTCTTATTTTACAATCAAAACTAGAATCTCCACTATTGTGTTAACTTTCTCTATTAACAGTTTAACACTATGTTATGTATCATCAATGTCAAGCTTCCCAAGTTATTCCACTATTCGATTTCATTCCAATGGTGGTAAGGTATTTATATATTTTTGGTATGCATTTGACTATCTTTTTAATAAAATTAACTCTTTAATTTTGTATTGCCAATGATCATAAAAAACCCCCATAATAGAATGGCTAGTTTTATTTGAATGAGTAGATAAATACCACTTGCTACTGTTAAATTTGTCTCTAATTCATATCAAGTGACCTAATTACAAGAACAACAACTTTTAGTAGGTTTTATTTAATATATATGTAAGTTTTTTTGGTAAAAAGAAAAATATTAATGGCATTTCTGTAATACAAAAAAAACCATATGGGTATTTGTCATTTTACAAAGTTTTGTGCTATTTTAGTCGGTCCAAATTTGCATGGGTCAGATTGGTTCGGATCCACAATTTATGTGCTAGTTAAGTCTATTATCTCATTTTCTTTCTCTCTTTTTCACGTTTTTTTCTCCATTTTTGTAATGTTATATTTTCTCTATCTTTTTCTCCCTTTTTCATATTTTACAAGAGATTCTCTCTTTCTCTCTATTTTTCTCCCCCTTTCGGTAACGATCACATGAACGTAATTTTTTATATAAGAAATTTAGAAAATAATTTATATATTGAAAATTACATGGATGGTTTATAGTTCATAATTTATGTTTACAATTTAGTATTTAGGGCTAGGATTTTAGGGTTTAGGACTTAGGCCTTAGGCTTTTTTTAGCTTGAACAATTTGTACAGTAGTTGTCTATGGTCTCATGTCCAGTACACATATTCTATATGGATAACAACTAGATGCTTATAAACTTGTGTATTGATATGTAACGATTACGTGATTCACATGACCAAATAGACTACACTGCTTGGATAGTCACCAATGGTTAGAAACATAATTTGTTATTATCCTCACTCTAAAGACAACGACTTACACACTTTTGAAAAAATTTCAAAATATCTCCATATGGACAAATTTAAATGGATTCATAAATTATCATGGACAATTTTATTTCTCGAACATAATGCACAATTTTAAGGTTTAGGGGTTAGGATATAGTGTATGATTGGTTTTGGTTTTAGAGTTAAATTTAATTGGATAAAGGATAAGTAGTAGAGGAAGACAATATAATTTCAATTTTGAAAATGGTGAACAAAATATTATGTGGTTTAAGTTGAATGGTTTAGTGTTTTGGCGTTAATGTTTAGAGTTTATAATTTAGTGGTTGGGTTCAGGATTTGGTGTTTAATATTTAGGGTTTATGATTTATTTTTATAGCTTTTTTCAATCAATGTGGATATAGTTAGTTGTTCACATATGCACTGCCAATTATCATTTTAATTTGTTAGGCTGAAGATATAGAATACATAATTAGACTGAGAGTAACGTTATTGATAGATTCAATTATCAAGTATGGATAGATTCAATTTCGTTGATATCATGTAATATACTCAATGAAGAATGTATAATATATTTGTTCACATATATACTATCCATTGGCATTTCTTAATGATAAACGTTATTATTTAGATTTTAAAAGTCTTCACTGTTTAGGGTTTCGAGTTTAGAGTTCAGTGTTATTGTTATTGGATATAGGTTTAAACTTCTACGTCTTAGTTTAGGTTTTAGTGTTTAGGATTTAGTATTTAGTGGTTAGGTTTAGGATTTTCTAGTTTTATATTTAAGGTTTATTGTTTAGACTCTTCTTGTAATCAAAACAACTATGTATCCATGAATGATATTATAATTGACTATCCATTTATCAGTGAACAAATGTTCAACTACAAATAGATAGTGTATAATACAATAATTCATCTAAACTATAGCAATATGCATATTAAAATGTATAAAAAATATAATTATAATCTATTGTATATAAATAAAGTGAGTTACTATTTAAAATGACAACTTATAGTCACAACAACAAAGAAAAAGGAGAAAAAGAGAGAAATGGAGAGAAAATTGATTTCTTATTTATACAAAAATGTCTTTCTTTCACGTTATTTATCTGAATAAATATCAACTACTCATCTCGATCATTAGTTACAATACAAGGGCTCAGAACTTATCAAAAAAAGTCAGTTTTTTTTTTAAAACCACACAAAGAAGGGAAAAATCGTATAAGCTAATGAATAATTTGCATCTACACCCACTTTCACACTTTCTTATAGCACATACACCCACTTTCAGCTATTGGCATAATTTTATGTGATGAAATGTCAGTATAGTCCTTATAAGAGGAAAAAGAAAATAATAAAACTAACTCTGCTTCACATCACACAAAAACTCGAACAAAACGTAATTGAGCCTCTTCTTCTTCTTCTTCTTCTTTCTTTCTTAAAAAGTAATTGAGCCTCTTCTTCTTCTTCTTTTTTTCTTAAAAAGTAATTGAGCCTCTTCTTCTTTCTTTCTTTTTTCTTTTGAACAAAGCGAGCCTCTTCACCCCATCCTCTGTAATCTTTGCCATCTCGTCCTTGACCCAACATCGATTCCGGTTTAAAACTTTTTGTCTGATCCAGAAAGATGTGCACTATGAGACTCAGAGATCCAGAGTATTGTCATACGAATTTCACGAAATACTTCACCAAAACTGTAGGATTCTTATCTGGGGAAATATTCTCTGGTGCGTTTAGAGGGAGAAATCCTTGTTACTTTAACACATGTGTGATGGTGATTATCTCAAAAAATGGAGAAACGACGGTTACACAAACCATTTAGAGAAATGGATGGGGGTTCAGAAGTTCTAGATGATTTACGACCTTCCACCGTTTTTCTTTTTTCACGGTCACATCGTGGATTTTTTTTGTTATCCATAAAGAGTTATCCATTTGGTTAATTTTTTAAAATACTTTGTGTGTTGTTGTTTTTCAAGTACTCGTGAATTTTTTGTAATTAATTAAAGTTTTTTTATAACTAATATGTTCGTAGTCAACACTAAGTGGACATATTATTATGGATACAAGCTGCCATTTCAAAAAGCATTTAGTTGTGTCTAAATTGGGTTAATCTAAGTTGAGTTAATAACCACATGGTCAGAGTTTAGTGGATAGACTTGGATGAAAATTACAAAAACAAGGAAAAAACCGATTCTCTGATCCATGTAAAGTACTTGTCAATAAAGTTCGACATCAATGTTGAATAATTTTTTGGTGTTATTCATGATTAATTCACCTAAACAAAATATCTTTGATCAATAAGCTTTTCATAGGTTTTTTAAATTACCAAACACAAGTAAGTATCCATAAACAGACTATCCATATATTAGCGAACAAATGTTCAACTACAAATGAATATTATAAAATATAAAAATTCATTTAAAATATATCAAAATGGATCTTAAAATATAGAAAAAAATAATTATAACCTTCACAAAAGTATACCATCCCTCTAAAGTAGGTCTATATGTCAATTTTCTTAACAAAAATATGCGTATATGTAATTCACTCAAAATGTAACTAAGTAGTTGGAAAAGAATGAGTGGCAAGTCTGTTAATATAACAACTATATTTTTTCCATAGTTGTTAAAGTTTTACAAAAAAATAGAGAGTGTCTTTTTGTGTGAATACTTTTGGAAAAGTGCATTTTCGTTGTATTAACTCTTTTATTTTTCCTTATGTCAACTTTACATAATTATTAAGAAAATATTTTCTATTTTTTGTGTACAATACATTGTAATTGTAACTTTTCTATATTTTATGTGAAAAATTATATTTTCCATAAAGACATTAAAAATGGACACCATAATATTTGTGATGGTGATAAAAATGTCTAAGAGATTGTGGATAGTTGAAAATATCTATCTTCCTATGCTCTTCACTGCACTATTTTCTCTAAACGTGTTCACACCATCTATGTCCTTTATTGTTTGTGAAGTATAAACCGCATATTAGTGTTGTTATTACAGTGTCTCATTGAAATGTAATCCAAGGAATAAAAACTGAATAACATGTCCCCGAAAGGTTATTCACGTAGGTAACACAATACCTCCCAAAACAAATTAGGGTTTTTAGTAAAATGGTAAATCAAGAGTCACAGTTGTATCGAAGTTTCCATCTTATAAAAAATATATGTGCTGGGAATGATGGACCTACGCACATACATATCCCGATTAAAAAAAGGTTGAAAGGCCAACAACAACATAAGGTTTGATGAATACTGATCATTTGTGTACATATGTTAAAACATCGTGTTTTTTCAGTGAAGGTAGATGTCCATTAATCGTCGACCATTATCAAGCAAAAATTACAAAAAAAACAAAAATCCATTATTAAGCATTACATTTTGAGAAGTATTATATGGACAGAACCTCGAAGAAAAACTTAAAAAACAAATAAACAAAAATAAAGAAAGAATGTAACTAAAAAGTTAGATAGCAATTACGTGAATTTAGAAAAACAAAGCAAGGCTATACATGCCCATTATTTACCCATAGTTGTGCAAGTTTGGGAAAACAAGAAAAATGATTTAATTTGGAGAAAATTGTACTAAGTGACATGAACAGTATCAAAATTCATGAGCATTGCCATATTGTCGATTCCGTTTTCCCGCTTGCCACAACGCCTAGTCGAAATGACTTCTTTACCCTCGACGACTGAACTCGCTAAAGCCAAAGAGAACTGTTGATGACACGACTTAAAGTCGCTTTTTCTCTTTGCGCCGTTTCGTGTTTATAACCAAACAATTAATTTTATCAACAGTTCCATTATTATCCGATGGACAAGCAATTAACCCTCTCAAACTTTTTTTCGAGAATATTGATTCCACCCCGTTCACCCCCTCAACCCCTTCCTATGCCCATTCCGATCGACGGTGCGTCGATTACCCCCTCGGCGGCGGACGAATCCGTTAACAGATTAGTAGCCGCTGCACCGGAAACCATGGGATCCCCCGACAAGCAACCCCTAGCAGACGGCGACGCCTCTGCTACCCCAAGATCTCCTGCGCCGCCAGCCGATGACCATCGCGGAGAAGAACCTAGCGCAGACGGAGAACCTAGCGCAGACGGAGAACCTAGCGCAGACGGAGAACCTAGCGCAGACGGAGAACCTAGCGCAGACGGAGAAGCTACGGCAGACGGTGACGCATGTGGTGCCCGAACATCTCCTATCTCGCCACCAGACGAAACCGCTAATCCTTTGGTCAGCTTAGAGATCCCCGGAGTAAATGCTAGTTCCGGAGACTTAGACCCATCGAAGAACGAGAAAGGCCCTATCGCGCCCTCCGATGAAACCGCCAGCGACGTCCCCCCTTCTCCCCGAGAGCAGTCTCCCGCCAGAGACCTTCGTACTTGCCTAACGAGGAGGTGAGTTTCGATACTGTGGAATTTATTTTTTTAATATTTTTGTCCATCTTCCAATTTCTAATTTTGGTCCACCACAGATCTACACTGCGTTCTGGTGGACAGGACAAGAATTATGATATTGTCAACCGTCCCAACAAACGGTATTGTCATCTGTAGACTCAATATTTGTATATTGTCCTTCTTTGAGTTAGTCCATTTCGCATATTATTACACCTATCAGTAGACCATATCGTTTGTTGTCTACTATACTCAATATTTAGATATTGTCCTTCTTTGAGTTAGTCCATTTCGCATATTATTACACCTATCAGTAGACCATATTGTTTGTTGTCTACTATACTCAATATTTATATATTGTCCTTCTTCGAGTTAGTCCATTTCGCATATTATTACACCTATCAGTAGACCAGATCATTTCTTGTCCTTTAAGCATATTATTAGTCCATTTCACATATCAGTAGACCAGATCATTTCTTGTCCTTTAAGCATATTATTAGTCCATTTCACCTAGCAGTAGACCAGATCATTTCTTGTCCTTTAAGCATATTATTAGTCCATTTCACCTATCAGTAGACCAGATCATTTCTTGTCCTTTAAGCATATTATTAGTCCATTTCACCTATAAGTAGACCAGATCGTTTGTTGTCTACTCATTGTCACTTACATCGTGTCTCTTATACTCATTAGGACCCGAGAAATTGTACGTGGACTCAAAGCAGATTCTCGGCCAGTGTACCTCCCCAAACCAAATCCCTCACGGCCAGTGGACATCTCGAGAGCTAAGAGGTATTTTCAATATTCTTAGGTTAACTTTGTTTGTCGTCTTAGAAGCTAATTGTCGCTTTTTGCTTTCAAAACAGCCACCCGCGCGCGGAAAATGTTGGTGGACAACCCCAGCAGGACAGTGTCTCTTCCCTGCTCCCACATCGTTTATTTGCGACTAATCGATATCCAGCGGGTGGACGTATCAATTCATATTCAAGGCCGGAGTATCTCCTCGACATTGTCGATGTCTTGGATGGTTCATTGGAGTTTGAGTGGCTTAAGCAGTCATCTTTCGGCCGTCTTCTCCAGCTACCTCTTCGTAGAAGTTCTTTGTCTGGTAAACTTGTCCATCAAGTCCTTTGCCGTTCTCTGATTACCAAGAAACGCCATGAGTTGTGGTTCATATATGGCGGGCAACCAATTCGCTTCTCAATGAGAGAGTTCGCAATACTCACTGGTCTTAACTGTAATCCCTACCCTTCCGAGGATGAGATTAAGAGGATGCAAAACCCATGTGGCAAGGATTTACATTACTGGACATCTTTATTTGGTCCACACAGCTCCATGACGATACGCGAGATTGTCGATTGGCTGAAGCGTGACAAAAAATTCCCCAAAAACAAAAGAATGGATGGGCAGAAGCGATTAAAGCTAGCACTCATTGTTATAGTTGAGGGTATTCTCGTCTGCGATTCGTCCAATGTCAGAGCTTCTAGGAAGGTTGCACAGATGGTTAAGGATGTTGACACCTTTGATAGCTTCCCGTGGGGACGGATGTCATTTGCGCGTACATTGGCGACTATATCTTTTGGGTCAGCCATCGACTCTGCCGATATCCTTGCTCAAAAACTCATGCAATCCCACACGGCCACACATGGATTCACCCTTGCAATCCAATTGCTAATCCTTCAAACAGTCCCCCTGCTTCAGCGATATCTAATAGATGCTGATGACAAGCAGACATTCACCGTGCGATCGGTTTCCCAGCTCACTATGCTCAAGACCTTCCACAACTCTAACATTTTGGAGACAGAGATGGACAAGAACGTAAGTTTGTCCATTACTATTTTTTAATTTTTATAGACATGATAATTGATGGACATATATAGTAATGTCCACAAGAAGCATGATTGTTAACTCCTTATTTTTTTTCTACGTGTGTGTAGCTCGAGGTTGATTGTCTCTTGAATTCGCGAGACGATTCTGAGTTAGGAACCCTGTCATGGATTGACGAGGTGGAAGATGATGGGGTTACTTTTATCCTTGATAAGCTCAGACATGGGCACAGGTTTAAGGTTGATGATTGGCATGGAGGTGTCTCTAATCTCCCATCGATTGCACAGTCCCCCAAGAAAGCGGAACCAACTGTAGGTGGCAAGCGTAGGAAGCCCCGTCTCACAAAACGGAGGGTAGATGTCCCTAATAGTCCCATTCAGCATCCTGTAGCTGAGGACTCACCAAAAACCGACTGGTTTGGTAGCAATCTTTCCAGGGAGCTACTTGCAGAAGTCGACAAACGCAACGCTGAGTTGTTATCAGAAATAGAGCGCAAGTGGGTACTCGAAAGAGCGTCGTTGAAGAGGGAGATTGTTGATGATATGATCCAGAGGTTGTGTGAAAAAGGACAAAGCAAGGGTGGACCCACTTCAAATGATTCAAATTTTTTGGATGAACTTAACAAGTCCTCATGGCCTGCTTACGGTGATGACATTATAGACATTCTTCGGGACATAAATAAATCAGAAGACAAGGTCCTTAGCTTTTGCTTTTACATCCCTTACCTTTTAAATCCTTCAACTTTTCAATCATTTTTCATGTTTTATACCTGTTAGGGAGCTGGCGTTAACGACGAGCAGGATCACCATTCCAACGACAAGGTTGATGAAGCTCATGTTTCAGCCGACCACAAAGCGGACACTACTTCTGTGGACACTGAGGAATCATCTCATCGAACCGAGGTAATAAACCTCTCTCTTTCTATAACTGTTCACCTACCTTGTAATAAACCTTGTTGACATAAAACTGCTTTTCTCTTATTTGACAAGGAATCCGGTGAGGAACAACAATCCCACGGTGAGGAACAAGAATCCCCCGGTGGAGGACATAATTTTGTCCACTGCTCGCAACCTGTTGTAACCGAGCTAGATGAGGTGTGGAAATTTTCAATCAGAACACAAGTTATTTATCGTCCACCAATATACTTATCTTGTCTACCGTCCATTTTGCATTAGGACGTCCATGAGTTATCAGATTCTGAACAGTCTTCGCACACCAATGATGGGTCACACAGCTCGGACCAGGTATAAATTATGTCCGTATAATATTATAAGTTTTTACACCATTTAGGGATTACAATTGTGACCTTACTACAGGACGTGGATGGCGGACAATCTACCAATGATGAGCAGTCTCTTTCACAGGACACAACTGATGATCCCAAGGTAGTAGTGATATACGACTTATCATTTCTTTAAAAAATAATATTGATCCCAAGGTATCCGACTAAACGCATATGTTGCTTCAACAGACCAAGATATTGTCCAAAAAAAGGAAGAACCCCATTGTAGATCAAGTTCTCACACCGTGGCCAACTAAGAGACGGAGGAGAGGTCCAAGAAGGTATGGCCAATCGTCCCAAAAGAAGGACGAGGTTGACTCTTCTCAAGATGACGAGTATGACCCTTTCAAGGAGGTTAAACCACAACTAAAGAAAATGTTTCTAGAAAAGCTAGCCTCCCATACCAGAAAGTAAGTACCTCACATGTTATATATTAGTCGACCACATATCATACGCCGTTGACCAAACTTTTTTGATCGCACATCCATGTTGAAACTTGTCAGGGAGTATATCATCGATGGGCATGCTGTCAAACCAAACTTTTTCAAGGTTTTATACACCTGCTCCCAGTGGGTTGAGAATCAGGTAAGCTGTGTATATTTACCATTTTGTCATATATTTTTTTGTTGTCCTCTGGACAATCTTTATTAAGCTCTACTCAACATGCAGCATATGAAAGCATTGCTCAGCTATACATGGAGGCGCTATGGTGAGCATTTCTTCGACGAACGCATTGCTGTCCTGGACACATGGTTTTCTCGCATCGTATGCGATGAGCTCCCCCGATTTAACCGCCTAAAAAAGAATGGTGTTCCTTTCGGGTGGAACAGTGTCATCAAGAACTACGTCCGTGGGAATGTCCCCAATCGCCAGGGAAAGCTTGCTTGGTTCACCGACGTAGACATCATCTACCTGCCAATGAGATGGGGTAAACGTCATTGGGTTGCTCTTAAAATTCGCCTCAAGCATGGTTCTATTTGGATCCTCGACACTCTAAAAGCCGAGAACAACCCTGCAATGGTGAAGAAGATTATGAAGCCTTTAGTTAATCTGCTCCCACATATAATCAAAGATCTCGTCGGAGAAAGTTTCATTGATTCTCCCCTGCCTACCGTGTTCACCGCCAACAGGGTAGCTGATGTTTATCAATCTGTCAGCCCCGGAGATTGCGGACCTCTAACTGTGAAGCTTATCGAGATGCACGCACATGGAATTAGAGGGGACGATTGCATAACAGAAGCCATGGTTGACACGATGAGGATGAAATATGCCATTGATGTCTTCCAAGATTGTGTTGTTTCTTTGTTTCCTTAATTATTGTCCACTGACTTTACCAAAAAATGTTTAAATGGTTCCTAAGTACTTTTTTTAATTTTTCGATTGTTGTCTATCACTCCCTAAGTACACTTTTTAGATTGTTGTCTATCAGTACTCATTTCATCTGCTCAATCCTTTAATCACCGAACTTTTATTGTTTCTTTCTTACAAGTAGTTCATCTTTTAAAATTCTGTCCATCTGTATAAACTTGAGTACTGACCATCTTTTAAACTATACTACTGTCCATCATGTTTCTTTTAAACTAGAATCCTGTCCATCTTTTTTTTAAAAGATGACTGTCCATTTTCAAAAAACAGTACACGTAATAGGTCCGCATTTCAACACAGTTACTCCCGTCATCTTTCCCCCCCCCCTGCATCAATACGTTTCGCCCTATCATTGGTCCACGTGTAAATAAAGCTTCAACACCTTCTTCTCAGTCACACAGTGTGTAGTCATATCACGTAAGCTTTTAGTTAACTTTAGGTGACTTTAACTTCTTTATTACCACGTGGATCATAATTCTTCAAATTACAATTCTCTTATTTAATGATTGTTAACTTTCGTCATATCACACCCTCACCAACTCCACATCTATCCCCACTCTCATCCATCCACTGAATGGATCAAAATTCCTACTCGCAGCCTCTTCCTTCGGCTCCCTCTTCCTCCTCCGCGTCTTAGATGCCATACCGACCACGGCCCATGTTGGAAACCGGCATTCCACCCCGTTGTTATTGCGGGTCTGCTCTAAGGATTGTTCGGTGGCCAGAAGGCTTAAACACAGGGCGTCTCTTTTACGAATGCGTGGACGAAGAGGTTATTGATGGACTAATTTGTGTTTCTATGTCCACGACGTGACCCGCCCTAACATTTTTTTTTCTCACAGCCCGAAGGCATTCATCTGACCAAATGGTGGGATGTAGCTATGCTGGAAGAGATTCAGCGTATCAAAGACAGGTACGAAGACTAAGATGAACGTTTTAAATACATTTCATACACCCCTGAAGGAGAATGCTTCGAACCCAGGAGGATGCTGGCTCGTTTTAAAGCCCAGGAAGAACAACTCGCTAATCTCCATGTGTGTGAAGAAGAGACGAAAATTGCTTTTGCTGCAATCAATTACGAAATCGAGGAGGTTTCAAACAAAACCATCCACATCTCTCAACACTGTCTCCACATTCGCAAGCTTTTCAAGGCCAATGTCTTAATTTTCATTTCAACTGGAGTGTTATATCTTTTGTTTGCCTTCGCATTTTTCTTCCCTAGGTCTGGTTAAAAATTTCGCTGGTGGACATGTTCGAATATTTTATCATTTTTTGTTTGCTAATCTATGTAATTGACGGCTAGACTATTACTTTCTAAGTAATTAGTTCTGTGGACCAGACTGGGATGTATTCTTGTCCACATTTTTTATGACAGTCAACTCTTCGTGTTTTTTTTAAATGTACCATTCCTTAGTGAATTGAATGATAAGTTCACCAATGGACTATAATCGGGGTCCATTGTCTGCTATCTTTTTTTTGGATTTGCAAAATGTTATTAGTGGACCAGAATTGGGAATTAAACTGGTCCACCACATTTAATCGGGGTATGTATTTTGCGGAGTCTTGTAGAAGTGTTTTGGTCCACAAGTGTATGGAGTATGTCGTTTTTGAACAAGCATTAAACTTGCGGTTGTGTTATTGTTGTAGCAGTAGTGGGGAAAAATTACACGTGCGTTGGATAATTACTATTAGTTTATCGTAAACATACCATAGTTCAATGGGCAAATCCTGTACGTGGACATGCATAGATTGCACTACATATTATAACATACGCTATTTGTCGGCGCGCATGGACCTACATACATAACCGAGAAGGATGATTTGACAATCGAAACAAAGACGTCCAACATATTGTTGCCCCATCAAAACATACACATGAAGTCGATGGACCGCCACCATGGGAAGCATTTTTCGCAGCGAGACTCATTACTACACTTCAACCCATCTGGTCCACAATACAAGATGCATGTAGGAACTTGGCGATATCTCCATGTTGCAGCGTATTCAATATTTGAATATATCCTAACTGGCCCAATCTCACGAATGAATTGGAAAACTAAATCAGCCGCCCGTTCAGCTTCATCGTATGAACCTGCTCTCCTTTGAAAGGAAGACACTGTGGACAAACCTTCGTCGTAATGTCCACGAGTAATAAGAAACATACCTAGTAAGAACTCCATTTCTATGGACAAAGGTGATATTGTCTTCAAAAGTTGTATACCCTCGTTGATGAGACCTTCTCGGCAAGTTAAACGAAGACTCTCCAAGAAGCAAGCTGTGGGGTTTTTAGCTTTCACACACCGAACAAAGAAGGAACGATATTTCCACCATTTATTAGTCAAATCAGGGTTGTGTAGGAAAGAAATGAGGGATGTTGCCTTCAACACTTCTTCGTCACAAACTATTTGCATTCCATATTTCCCAGTAGCCATAAATGGCCCTAGATCTTCAAACCCATCACGAGAAAGCAAAATAAGTATTTTGATCAAAATACTTTTTGGGATAGAGAAAAGAAAATTTCTAAGATTTCGTTTCCGAGAATCCATTGCAAAAAAGCATTTAAACTAGCCAGACAATCTATCCATACATATATACCTCAATATCTTGTCCTTAGGCAATTAATTTTAGGAAAAGTAGGTGTGAAGGTTAGTTGGGATGGTGTCAAGGAATAATTTCCCCTCGTATTTGTGTGTATTAATGAAAGTTGAGTTGGGTAATAAATACAGGAGTAACATGTAGATGTGAAACCATTTGATGACAAAATTCGTTTGCAAATGGGTAGCATGTAAATAATATTGTATCATGTTGGATGACAGAAATTAACTTATGTTGTCCACCGAGATATAAAAAACACGATTTATGTTGAAAACATCATATCATCGGGAGTCCCGTAATTCAATCCAAAAAACCACAGAATCCGCTTCATTTGATGGACCAGCCAAAATCCCAATCCTGGTCCACTGAAACCAAATAACTTAAGCATTTTAGGTACATTACACTTCCGTTTTTAGTCCACTGAAAAAACTTCCCATACATTACCCCCAAAAAGTTTACTTCTCGTCATCCTCTCCAAAAAACATCACTTTCTTCTACCAACACCTTCTATCAACTAGAAAAATTGTCTACTGTCACACCTTGACCTGCAGACAACTGGTCTACTTCATATGAGGTTCGAACATGTCTTCCGATTGTGGCCGACGCCGTAACACCTACCACATCTTGCTCGGTTCTTCCGTTTCCTCACCTTTTTGTGAATACAATTTAAAAACCCATTAGAAGTTTGACTACGGAAAACACTATAATAGTAACATATACATATTAGTTTATGCTTACCCGACGCTTTTCGCCCTGGGACGGAATTCTTCTCTTTCTAGGTCTACCACCCCCTCGTCTTTCCTTCGGGGGGTTGATAGGAACTTCGTTAACAACAGGTGGGATGTCCGTATCCCTTTCCTTTGGCACCGGCATAATGACTTTTTCGTACTTTTTCTGCCACGGCTCAACAAAGTAACTCTGATCAACAAAACTATAAACATCGAGTTGCCTCACTCCCCGAGCAGCCAATGCATGACAGCATGGAACCTTAAGGACATCAAACACGCGGCAAGTGCATGTTTTATTCTCAAGGTCTACGATAAAACTACACCCCGATCCATCGTTCACTTGATATACCCATTCACTCGCGGACAATACCGCACAGTTCAACGCTTCCCTCAAATGTTCTATCAAAATGGCCTCAATCTCAGGGGTGCATCTAGTTCTTGCTTTATTTGCCTTGATCCTCCTCAAATAAAACCACCGCATCAACATTGCCCGTATGAACTCAACCATCGGAACAACTGGATAATCAATGGCCTTTTGCATAGCCGCATTCAATGACTCCGAGATATTACTACTCATTATATTGTAACGGATGCCAGGGAAATGTGATAGAGTCCAATGAGGTAGGCCTATGGCAGTAAGATACGCTGCACACTTTTGGCTACGCCCCTTGATTTCAGCCCACCATACCCGAAAATCACCCACCGTGTACGCCCTCGCTTCCTTGTTTACAATTGACGCCAACCCATCACAGTCAAAATTATGCCGTACGTTCCTAACTAGATGAACGGTACACGATCCATGGTGTGCTAGAGGATACACCTCGCGTAGCCCAGCATAAATAGATGCATGTCTGTCAGACACAAAGACAAGATCCTCTTCATCTGGAACAAATTTCTTCAAGTTCTTAAAAAACCAAACCCATCCCGGTGTGTTCTCTCCATCAACTACCCCAAACGCCAACGGATAGACTTGCATATTTCCATCTTGTCCACTAGCCGCAACAAGGCATCCTTTGTACTTGCCTTTCATGGCTGTCCCATCAATAACTATGACCTTCCTGAGATACTTATAACCAGATATTGAAGCACCGAACGCGAAGAACAGGTACTTGAAAAGGACTTTATTAGTGTTGTCCTTCGTCGTGTGCATATCAGTTATTGTCCCTGGATTGGTTGTCTTCAGCAGGTGCAGGTACGTTGCCAGGAATCTGTAACTTTCCTCCTCGTCACCTCTGGCTGCGGCAATAGCTAGCTCTTTTGCATTCCACGCTTTCGTATAAGATATTGTCACATTTAATTCGGATAAGACCATACCCGGTAGATCGCATGCCCTAGGTCCTTTCTTACCTGTTTCAAATTTACTTTTCAGCAAATCCGCCAACACCTTCGCAGTTGCTTTCTCCCCATACCTTGACCTTGAGGCAACATCGCAACTATGTGTAAGCTGCACAGTTTTTATTTCCAAATTCTCAGACCCTTTATGTGTAGTTGCATACACTCGCCATCCACATTTCTTGTCCACACAGTTAACAATCACTCTCTCCTTATCTGACTTGTTGATTCTATAGCTAAACAGACGTTTCATTGCATACAAAGAAAGCGTGTTACGCATATCGTCTTTGTTTG